ATCCATAGCTGCCTGCCACTGAGAGGAGTAGGGACCCTCTACGGCCTCCGCGTAAGAACGCGGAGTCGGGATGTCTAGTGCATCCGGGTCTCCCTCAGGGGCAAGCAGTACAGACGCGAGATGAGGTGAAGCAGCCGCTAGACACTGTAACTCCTCCTGCCTGTCCTCTAGGACGTCCGTGCCAAGAGCACACTCACCCCCGACGGACGGAGGACAGACAGACGCAGACTCAGCAACAAGACTAGCAGCGTAGTCGAGACGACAGCGAGCAGCAAAGTCGAGCGACGCAGACGCAGACGCAGCAGTGGACTCAAAAGAGGGGTCAGCAACGACAGTAGCAAGCAGACGCGTGACAGTAGGACTGGCAGCACGAAGAGAGTCCGACTCAGGGTCGGCAAGCGCAGGAAGAGAGGACTCAGGAGGAGAAGGCAAAGGGGCACGCAGAGGAGCAGTGGACGGACGCAAAGACATCCGGTGCGTGCCAGGGACAGGAGGAGGACGCTGACGCGAACTGCGACCACTAGCGCGAGCAGCACGAACAGGCGACGCGGGACGAGACGCAGGCTCACGACGCTTAGCAAGACCTCCTGTAGGACCAGTGTAAGGAGAGGGAGCAGGCAGTGGAGAGGAAGGCTCCAGCAGGGACTGCGACTGGACAGGCGGTGGACCCTCTACTGGAGGAGAAAGACCAAGAACCTGCTGCAGGAGCGGAACGAAGTACGGCCGAGGCCGCGCGGCAGCTCCAGACTCAGCAGGGACAGCACCAGCACCCTCAGCGACAGCACCAGCGCCACCCACACCTCCAGCGGCAGGACCAACAGCAGTAGGCTCAGCACCAACGCCCTCAGCAGCTCCAGCTCCAGGAGGACCCGCAGGTCCAGCAGCTCCGGGACCGGCAGCACCCGCACCCTCGACGGTCGAAGAAGCTCCAACTCCAGCTCCAGCAGCACCTCCAGACGCAGCAGCACGCCTCCAGCGGCGAGCGAACCACTCGCGCAGCTCCTGTGGAGAGAGGGGCTCCCGGCGAGACGCAGCAGCAGGAGAAACCCCAGGCTCAGCAGCTCCAGACGCAGCACCCCCAGGCTCAGCAGCTCCCAGCTCAGCACCCCCAGGCTCAGCAGCTCCCGACCCAGCACCCCCAGACCCAGCACCTCCAGGCACAGCACCCCCCGGCTCAGCACCCCCAGGCTCCGCACCCTCCGCAGTAGCACCCTCAGGCCCAGCACCCCCAGCAGTAGCACCCCCAGGCTCAGCACCCCCGTGCACAGCACCCCTAGAGTCAGCACCCCCAGGCTCAGCACCCGCAGCAGCACCAGAGTCACCAGTAACCTCGACCGGGTCAACGGCGTCTACCTGGGACACACCTGAGGGGGCAGGAACCTGAGGGGGGAGGGGGTCTACCGGGGGGGGAACCGGCACAAGGAAGTCCGGGGGAGGGGGGAGGGAAGGAGTGCGGTAGGGGAAGAGACGGTAGAAGGGGACTGACTCGTCGAACGTGACGTCCTGGGAGGACAGAACACGACGAGAGGAGGGGTGGTAAAACTGCCACCCTGGGGCGTCAGTGGGGAAGCCAAGGAAGACACAGGGAGCAGCACGAGGGGACAGCTTGTCCGCAGACAAGTCGCGGACAAACGCCCGAGATCCCCAGACACGGAACACAGACGCATCGCCAACCTTCCCCGTCCACAGCAAGGCTGGGGACATCGCAGGCCGAGAGACCCGGGGGTGAAGGTTGAGCTGATGCGCCGCGTACCTCACCGCAAACGGCCACAGAAAATGGGGGGCAGCCGCATGCATCATGGACGTACGAGCGACATCCATGACCATGCCAATGCGGCGCTCAGCAATCCCATTTTGCTGTGGTGAGTCCGGAAGCGTGAAGGTCTGGCGGATCCCCCGTGCACGACAGTAGTCTCGTAGAAGGTGAGAAGAGAACTCTCCGCCTCTGTCCGAGTGCAGATGCAGAACAGGAAAGTCCGAGCCGAAGCTCTTCCTGAGCTGGAGACGAGCCTCGCAGATCCAGTCGATCAGCACCTCAGTGACCGCACCCTTGCTGCGCAAGGGGAGGACTGTGGTGTAACGCGAGTAGTCGTCAACCACCAACAGGAAGTAGCGCTCGTGACCCTGCCCACAGACGGGGGCTGGGCCCCACACATCCATGTGAAGCGTCTGCAGGGGAGCCTCTGTCGGGGGGAAGTGGGAGGAGTGAGGAGTAGCCCGGAGGCGACCCTCGACACAGGGGACACAGGAAGGTCCTGGCCCGGAGGGGAGAGGAGGGAGAGACTGGGGAAGACCAGAGACAAGGACACGGGAAGCCATGCTCCGAAGACGGGGCAAGGAGGGGTGGCCAAGACGGTGGTGCCACAAGAGAGTCTCGTGAGACAGGAGGCGAGAAGAACAGGGGGCAGACTCAGGACCTGACCGGGACGCAGCAGTAAGCACCTGACCTGACGCAGCCACCTGACCAGACGCAGGGACAGGAGGAGACTCAACGGTCAGGGTGTAGAGACTCGACCCCGGCCGACGCGAGAACGTGGCCAGGTGTCGGCCTGTGCGTGCCTCCGTGCAGTGGGTCACCCGCTGACTCGCAGGAGTGAACTGGTGAACCCCCACATCCTGCAGGTCCGCGCCACTCACCAAGTTCGTAGAGAACGAGGGAAGGTACAGACCAGACAGGGTGCCCGAAGGGGCAGCCGGACACGGGAGGACAGTGGAGAAGTGAGACAGGACAGGACCCCCAGAGGGGTCAGCAAGGGAGACTGCAACCGGCCGGCCGAGCGGCGTAAGGGTAGTGCGGTCTCGAAAGAAGGAGCGAGAAGCCCCGGAGTCAAGTGTGAAAGTGAGGGAGGACGAGGACGACGCAGTACCTGAGAGCGCAGTTCACCAGTACCTGAGAGCGCAGACGCACTGGCACCTAGAGCAGCAGCCTCACAAGCACCTAGCGCAGCAGTACCAATGCCCGGGTCGGGCTGGAAACACCGGTAACCCTCATTCTCCTCACTATAGGTCACAGCATACATAGCAGCAAGGATAGCATCAAAATCAAGATCAAAGATCGCTACACCAGCCCTAAGAAGCTCATCCCAGTGAGGGATCTCACTAGCCCCAGGGAACTGCTGACGCCAAGCATCCGTCAGGCGGCCAAAGCAGCGCTGGGTGGCGTGGGCACCCCCACACTGCTCACCCGCGCGGTCGCCGGAACGAAGAACGTAGGTGCAGGGACCAGTACCCCCACCCCTCTGACGCCCAGCGTACCACTCACGAAGCTGCTGAGGCGGAGGGATGTCTCGCGAGCGCTGCTGCTGCTGCCGCTGCGAGCGCTGGCCACCACCACCGCCGTTCCGCTGCTGGGTACCACCCCGACCAGCTCCACCTCCTCCACCACCACCGCCTCCTCCGCTGCCGCCTCCACCGCCTCCACCTCCGCCGCCTCCACCTCCGCCGCTGCCTCCACCACCACCGCTGGCACCACCACCACCGTCTCCGCCGCTGCTGCCACCACCACCACCACCCCCGCCACTAGTCCCGCCGCCACCCCCACTCCCTCCGCCGCCACCGCCGCCACCGCCACCGCCCCCTCCAGCTCCACCCGCGCCCTTGCCCCCCTTGCCCTTGCTGGAGCGACGTCTCCCACTAGGGGCAGACGCCGCGCCGACCGACTCAAGACCAAGCAGGTCGGCAGCAGCAGTAGAGGCAACAGAGGGCAGCAAGGGGGAAGGAGAGCACCCCTCAAAGATGGGGGTGCGAGGGTCACCACGAGAAGCACCTACAGCGACTATGCTCTTCTCCGCTGCGAGGAGGGCCTTCTCGAGGAGGTCGACGGTGAGGGTGGTGGGACAGACTGCGAGAAAGTGGTCCCTGACGACGCGAAGGGAGTCAGGGAGGCGCGCGACTACGTAGTAGAGAGCGATGTACATGGGGGGTGGGTTCTTAGCGCAGAACTCAGCAGGAAGGGCGGCGCGGTAGCGAGTGTCACTAGTGCGGAGGTGCGTAATGAGGTCAGCGACAGTGGGAAAGGCAGAGAGGTCAGGAAAGAGGTAGGGAAGCATGAGACGGCTCAGTGCAGCAGTGGCAGGGGAGGAGTAGCGCGCAACTACAGCGTCGTACAAGGTCTGAGCACTCTTGTACTGACTAAAGTGCGCACGCTCAGAGGTAGGGAGGTGGCGACGCACAGCAAGACGTGCAGCAGCATCGCGGGTGGCCCACTGAGAGCGGACAGTGGGATCAGCATCAGCAGCAGGAGCAGGAGAGGCGCCAGAGGTGAGGTCAAAGAGAGAAAGGCCGTCAGCCCTGTCGCACTGTAAGAACAGCTGCAGGTCGTCTAACCAGACCTCAAAATCAATGGCGCGACCCTCAGCGTCAAAAGCTAGGACACTAGGGGTAGCCATGGCGACGACAGCGACGCAGTGAAATGAGTACATGTAGGAAACCCTAGAATTGTGTACCCCCTATAGGCTAACCCACTGTAGCCTACACAAGCATAACATATATAATGTTTGACACGATAGAACATCTTTGAATGATTAATCAAACACATCGACTGAAGCATCGCACAGTACACAAGCAGAGCAACGAAGTAGGATGATAAGGCTTACCTGGCACAATCTCCTCCGTCAGGTCGGCCTTGAACAAGGTGACCAGCGACTGTAGCCACTGAAGGCACCGCCGTTTCCTCTCGGCACGATCCAGTGGGTACTCGTCTGGCAGGAACAGCTTCACCCAAAAAAATATATGAAATCTCAGACTTTTCCAAACAAATCAGACAAATTTCTCTGACTTCTGAGGGCCTGACCCTGACCGTGTATTGGTGTATGAAGCGTAATTGCGTATGAACTACGGTATGTTGCTATCTCTTGATAAATACATTTACCTGCTGGGTACGATTGATCATGTGTTGATAATCAGATCATGTGAAAACCCTGCCTGAGTATGGGCGGAAGCTGACCGACAGCAGTTTATGCAGATTTTCACTGGAAATAATACACGAGAACGACGCATATCTACATGCCTTTCAGCACATCACGCAATGCATACATGTACGAGTTGACAAGGTGATCCGACAATAACGAGGATGACAAAACAATCCTCTCAAATCGTGCACTCCCCTGCGCCTCCAACAACACATGCTCCCCATCCTTCTTATCCCTCACTATATGGTACAGCTTTCCGGGAGCGTAACGCCTGTGCGTATCCATGGTTACCACATTTGCCGAGACTGCTTCGCCATTCGCAGCTGTAGCAGCCAAGTCCTCGGCAAGAATCTCAGACTTGCCATTCTCATTGCCGTTGCTGCCATTCTCACTGTCACTCCCATTCCCATTCCAACTGCTATAGCTGCTGTCGCTGCCATTGCCATTGTCACTGCACATTTCTATCTTATCCTTATCATCCATCCCCTGGGTGTTGCCTGCTGTCTCTTCAATGCCAAGAAGATCCGATCCTGCTTCCCACCCATTCTCCTCACCTTCCGGCTGTTGCTGCTGATGCTGCAGGTGCTGTGGCAGTAGCTCATAGTTAGCCTCGGTATTAGCTGCTCCGGCATTGGAGTAGTGCTCGTCCAAGGTATAGCATTCCATCTGCACCTGTTGCAGCAGCAGCAGCTCATGTCGACTCAGCTCCCGCTCCTTCTTCTTTTTCCTCCACCTCTTTGACTTGAGCTTGGTCAGCAGCGAGGAAGAGTCAGGAGAGGATAAGGCAGGAGGAGGAGGAGGTGAAGGGGAGGATCGAAGGGACGAGCGAGGGTGTACAGAGGATGAAGAGCGAGGGGTGCGAGAAGAGGCGACGGGGGTTTCTCGGGGACGAGAGGAGGAGAAGGTGTAGAGGGCATCTAGGGCCGATGAGCACGAGTCAGAAACATCAAGCTCTTCGGGGGGAGCGCTATTCGTGGTGGTGGGATATGGTTGGGATGAAGGGGATGCGGAAGAGGGGGAAGGCGCAGAAGAGTCGGACGGGGATTGGAGGTACATGGAAGGATTCGGGGGAGAGTGCGGAGATAGAGGAGGAGGGTGAGATGTAGAGAGTGGAAGGGAGTGAAAGGAAGAATCTGTTGCAGTAGAGTCACGGAGTATGGTAGCGTTGGTCAGCTCGCCCTCCCTATAAGCAGCACCGTTACTGTCACCTGCTTCTGAAGGGGTTGAGCTCAGTGTATCGAGCTCTTGAACAGAAGCAAAGCTGTTGCTGATCAAGCTATTCGGGGTAGAGTGAGAGGGAGAGCTGGCACTGCTGATGCTGATGCTGCTGCCATTGTTGCTCCTGCTGCTGCTGCTGCTGCAGCTGCTGCTGCTGATGCTGCTGCCATTGTCGCTGCTGCTCGTCCCATTGTTTTTGCTGCTACTGCCATCGCTGTTGCTGTTGTCTGAAGAAGCAGGGCGAGCGCGCTTCTCCTTGCTGGGCTGAGCAGCAGCGCATGCCACCACTTCGTTTCGCAGCGACTCCAAGGCGTGCAGACTGAGGCGCGGCACTATGTCATCCTGGTGACACGTGGTAACAGACGTGGTAACAACACGTGGTAACAGCACATGGTAACAGTACGTGGTAACAGCACGTGGTAACAACACATGGTAACAGCACATGGTAACAGTATGTGGTAACAGCACGTGGTAACATGGTAACCACACATGGGGGAAAGAAGACAAAACAGGTAGATTGAGGCACCTCTAGAACAAGGAGAGTAAGAGTGGGCAGTCCTCTGTTCCTCTTATCTCGCAGCGCCAAGACGGTCACCTGCAGCACCAGCACCCCCAAGGGAGAGAGCTCAACTGTAGGACCACAGTGGTGATGAAAGTAGTAGCACAGTGGGTTGTGGATACGAGGGGGGGTCTCTGCCCTATCAACGCGCTGAGGAGCTCACCTGCAGGACAACAGTGGTGATGAAGGGGCGACAGGAGAGCGCCAGATGCCTGGAAACACAGGGCGGAGTCGCGAACCCCACGCAGCGCACGCGCTCACTCGTTATCCCCAGCAGCCCCTCCGCTTGTGGCCTTAGCAGGATGGTGACCAGCGCCGCCACCGCCGCCCCCAGGGAGTGCCCGATCAGCCGCAGATCATACCCCGGGTGGTGGGCCAGGAGGTGGCGCAAGAGGGGGGACTCCTCATGCACGAACGTCTCGGCTGCCTGCACCATGCCGTAGTGTCCGAATGCGATCACCTCGTCCATGTCGCGCCGTTCCTCCTCTCCCACCACGTCCTCCATCGTCTCCTCCCTTGGGGCCTGCTTTGAGCCTTGCTTTGAGTTCTGCGTTGCATTCTGCTTGGCGCTCTGCTTTGGTTTCGCCTGTGATTGCTCATTAAACTCATTCGCTGGTTGTCGCTTGGCCTCGCTCCTCCGCTTATTCTCACTCACGCTCCCCCTTTCTCCTGTCGTTTCTCGAGCTCTCCTTTGTTCCTCTCTTGTCTCGTCTTTTCGCTTACTCCAAGCAGCCACCCCGTCTCCCTCCCTCTCTCCCTCCATCCCATCGCTTTCTATAAAGTAATCCCCTTCACGCTCCCCGCTCCTCTCCTCGCCATCTGTCTCCGACCCGTCCTCTCTCCCTCTTTCCGCAGCACGCTGAACAGTAGAGACGTGGACCGAGTGGGCGGCAAGGTTCGTCAGCATGTCGTGCGCCGACCGCGTCCCGCGGAACGACACCACTACAAGACGACGCTTGTCGTCCAGAGCTATGAAGTAGGCCGGCCTGCCATACCGAGCCTGATGTGGTGACATGGACAAGGAGGGGAGAAGGAATAGGGTAACGCATGAGGACGACGGGGGGACGATGAGGGGAGGATCCGGGGAGGATGGGGGAGGATGGGGGGGGATGGGGGGGGATGGGGGAAAATGGGTGAAAATGGGGGGAGGATGGGAGCAGGCGTGGGAGAAAATACATGAACGCATGCGAGCATATGTGAAATTAGACCGGGGAATGACCCAGGCATGCACTCATGTCACTCAAGCACACTACCGGCACACACTATGGCAGCCCTGCGAACGTAACAAACAATACCCTGTGCACACCTCACCTTGGGTACGATCTTGACTATGCGGTTGGGGCGAACCATGCACGCCTGCGCTATGGCTCTGTGCGATGTGGCAATGGCCGCCTTGGCAAACTCGCAGTGGTAGATCAGATCCTGCACCTGCAGGCGGAGGGAGGAAGGAGGGGAGGAAAGGGGCAGGGCAGCAGACTAGGCATGAGGTTCTGTCCTTGTCGATACGGCTGCCCAGGTGAACTCGCAGTGGGATCAGATCCGGCACCTGCAGGCGGAAGGAAGGAGGGGAGGAATGGGGCAGCCAAGAACGCATGAATATCAGTGCGTGTATGCTCTTGTGTGTGTTGTGGCTATGGCATGGCTGCCTGGGTTTTTGAGGCGCCTCATGAGGCGCCTCAAAAGTCCTCAAAAGTCTTTTGAGGCGCCTCAAAAATGTATGCTCTTGTGTGTGTTGTGGCCATGGCATGGCTGCCTGGGGGAACTCGCAGTGGTAGATCAGATCCTGCACCTGCCATGGCAAAGGTGGACGCAGGGGATATGGCGTTGCGCTATGGCCCTGTGTGTTGTGGCTATAGCCGGCACCCGCCTTGCATACTCGCAGTGGTAGATCAGATCCTGCAGCAACATGAAAAGTCCGTTTTACGCATTCTCTGATCCTCTTTCGCATCTGCTCCTCTCTCCATCTGCTAGTCACTCACTCACTTGAGAAAACAGCACCTAACCTGAACCGGACCAAGTGCTCACTCACAGCCTACCCACCTAAACTCACTGTTTGCTCGTCTGTGACAGGTGCTGAAGCAACAGTGTCCACCGCCCTCTCTTCAGCATGCTGCAGCGACAGCAGGTACAGCCAATGGGTGAGGTCGCGCATTGACCACGCAGCACCAGACCTTCCAATACCTCGCACACGCAGTCTCCCCAACACTCCTCACTCACAGTCTGCTCATCCGTAACTGGAGTCGAAGCAACAGTGTCCACCGCCCTCTCCTCAGCATGCTGCAGCGGCAGCAGGTACAGCCCGTGAGTGAGGTCCCTGAAAGAGGCTACCATTACACCTCTCCGTGGCATGCACTCACTGTTTGCTCGTCTGTAACTGGTGTAGATGCCACTGTGTCAACCGCTCTCTCCTCAGCATGCTGCAGCGACAGCAGGTACAGCCCGTGAGTGAGGTCCCGCATTGACCATGCGCCCATGCCGCCTGCACTGGCACGCACACTCCTTGCCACGTCTAGGAGCACTCCCATGCGGATGCGAGGCAGCGAGTTGAATGCACGCGCCACTGAAGAAGGGGAATGAGGAGAGGGACGAGAGCGAGGAGTAGAGGCGGGATTACAGCTCTTAAAGTGACGGGCAACTTTTGGCAGTGTTGGGTTCAGAAGTTTTTTTTTTGAACCAGGCTTGCCAGCGCGAAAGTGCTGGCTGGCAAAAACCAGGATTTCGTGCGGACACTTTCCATCTGCAGTAACAGTTCGCCAGGGTTCTGGGTTTTGGGTGGCAAATGTGCACCGTCGCTTTAAGCTAATACAGTCCCAAAGGGACCATGCACCCATGCTGCCTGCACTGGCACGCACGCTCCTTGCCACGTCTAGCAGCACTCCCATGCGGATGTGCGGCAGCGAGTTGAATGCATGCGCCACTGGGGAGAGGGGAATAGAGTGGGGAGAAGAAGGGGCCAGTACAGCCCATGGGTGAGATTGCGCATTGACCATGCACCCATGCCGCCTGCACTGGCGCGCATGCTCCTTGCCACGTCTAACAGTACTCCCATGCGGATGCGTGGCAGCGATTTGAACACAGTGAGAGACACTTTTTGACTTTCAACAAACCTACCAGGAGGGCCTGTGAAGCTGAGCGCGGGCGAGAAAACAACGTCTGAGATCCAGGAGAGGGAGAGAGAGTGCGGGATGATTCTTGAGACGTGTCAAACGCGGACCTACCTGGTGGGCCAGTGAAGCTGAGTGCGGGTGAGACAACCACGTCAGAAATCCAGGAGAGAGTTCGGGAGGAGACTGCCAGGCCCCGCCGCAACACACTCTTGCGCTCCTGCCCTCCCTCCTCCGCCTCCAACAACAACCCTTCCTCTTCCTCCTCTTCTTCCTCACCCTCCTCTTCCTCACCCCCATCTTCCCCCTCTTCCTCCTCTTCCCCCCGCTCATCTCCGTCTATTCCCTGCGTTTCCTCCTCCATGCCAACATCCGAGGTGCTAAGGGAAAACGCCATATCTCCGGCTGCTGTTGCGAGCACGGGCTCAGAAAACAGATGGCTAGAATCTGTATCAGCGGGCGATTGCAGAGGTGCACCGATTCCACCGTCCCCTGTAGGTGTGGCAGGTGACGAGCTTGCAGTCACTTGTACCGTCCCCTTTACAAGGTCACAATTGCCTGGTTTCTCCCCCATCCCTTCTCTTTCATCCGTTGCTTCTTGATCCTCCACTGCTGTTACTGCACCCAGCACCTGACTCAACCGCTCCTGCCGAAATTCATGTTGTCGATCCAGCGCCTCTTCACTCATTCCCTCAGCCTCTGCACCCCTGCTACTTCCTGTGCCCTCACTTGCCCCTCTGCTGCTCCCGTTGTCCTCTCTGACCGCCCGGACTGCTCCATTTGTGACACCAGTTGACACATACGCGTTATAAGCTGGCACAGGTGGGATATCAGAAGCCAAACCTTCCCAACCACCAGGATCATCCATACCTCTTTTGTTATCCCCCTTCATTTCAGCCCTTCCAGTAATTTCATGCCTTTCAGAGCTTGCTTTCTCTTCCCTATGCAACGTTCTCTGCCCCTGACCTTGACCCCTTGAAACACCTGAACCACCTGGCGTATCCCAGGCGCCTGGTCTGCAGTTACTTTGGACTCTGCTGCCATTTTCACCCACACCGGCCGGATTAGACCGCACAGCATCATTCTCCACCGCACCCTTTGCTGCTTCACCCATCTCCACTGCGTGATACCCGTCCCGCTCTTCAGCTTCACAGACCTCATGCTGCCCCTCCCACACACCACCACCACCCCTCAACTTCCGGATTGCAAAGCTCACCACCGCACGGAACCCCTTCGCCCCAGAAACAAGGCTCAGGGACCCCTTCCCTGCACCGAGGCCTTTCCGTGTGCTGCTGACGTGGCTGCTCACCGGATTTCTACTGCTCTTCTTGCTGGTCTGGTTACTGCTCTTGCTGCTACCGTCATGGTTGCTCCTTCGGGGTTCGTCTGGCAACAGAGCAGCAGAGGAGACTGAGCGCCTAGTAGCTAAAGCAACTGGAAGGACTGATGAAGGAAGGCGGTGATTCTGCTGACGTGTCAGTGACGTGAGCGGGGAGATCCGAGTATGGAGTGTAGCCATTAAGCTGAGAGGACGGTGAAGGTTGCTGCGAGAAACGTGAACGCTGCTTAAAGAAACGGGAAGGTTGCTTGCAGGACCGGGAAGGTTGCTTGCAGGACCGGGAAGGTTGCTGCTTCTTGAAAGCGTATGAGCCGAAAGAGGGTACTCTTGGGGGGCGGAAGCCTTGGAACGGAACTGATACTTCTTCGGATTGTTCTGCTAAAAAAAAAGGGCGAGACACGGAGGTAAACATAAACACATAACTGTTGCTTTCGGAGGCTCGGCTTAAAAGAAAGGCGCTACGAGGAGGTAAAAGAACCAGCGAATGGGAGGAGCTACAACCTGAATCTCAACGACAGATTTACGATTATTCTCCTAGTAGGGAGACGCCGTTTTAGAAAGTTACCAGGCCGAGGGAAGCTGTCACTGGCGTCTGGAAAGCTGGTAGTGTATGCAGCAGCTTGCTGCTACTAGGGTTCCTATTAAAGACCCCGATTGGCAAGACAGAGACCGAGAATCGCGCGGAGGTGACACCGAGAGTTCTTGAAACTTGTGCCATAAAAACAGTCAGTTTACTCCCTGCCGTGACAGGCGACTGTTCATTCCATTGAACGTGGACGCGCTGCGTCCTCAAAAGACTGGTTCACTGGGACCTAGAAGAAACTCCTCGACGCGTGTGTCATGTCAAGAGTCTCCGATTCTCTCCGCCTCAGGTTTCATTTGGCAGTTGGAACGACATGAACCAGACCGACCGTGGTTGAAGCGTGCGACGCCATGACTGAATTCGACATTGGAATTGTCGCCTGACAACAAAGCAAATTATTTCTGCGATTGGAAGTTGTATGGCCACTCACAAGTCACACGATCAACCATATCATACATGAGGAATATGCGGAATCGAAATGACAAATCACATCATACAGCGCGGTATAACACGGTCTAAAGAGATACTGCTGCTAATGTCACATCTGTGAGAGTGACTGTAGAGAATGTTCGTCTGGTGTGGACGACTTCTGGAAACTCCGGGATCTTGTGAAGAAACCCAAGTCACGCCAGCATGACCGTTGGATGCAGCAATGGGACCACGCGATTGGAGCGCTCCCAAACTCGCTAAAACACGAATCGGTAGTTACGTCGTGTAAGTTTCGCCAAAACAGCTCTCATAAAAGCAGCTTTCATGATGTCACTGTAATCTTTTTGGCTCTGCTCCGCTCGTCGATATCGGCCATTCTTGTAGCGAGCTCAAAATTCTACAAACATTTATCACATATGTCAGCATGCAACTCCCAAGGAGGTCGCGGCAAATTTGTCAAATCCTCAGAGCACTCACATTCAGGCATTGTTCCTTGCCGTTCAGCCTCTGAAAACTGAGCCTGAATAAACTGTTCTATATGTCACTGATAGACAGTAACGAGGCATTGCTTCTTTAGTAGTAACGTTGGCAATCCGTTGCTTTCGTTCTCTGGATCTTAGTCTCTCATTCAAATATGTCGGTTCCACGCACGATTACTGCGCGTCTCACTGATACTGACCAAGATGCTGACCTGGAACAGCTGCGAGAGTTTATCGACACGTGTCCGCTTCTCGACCACCACTGCCACTGCCTGATGGAGCTAGAGCCTCCCGTTACAGTCACATCTCTCAGCAACGCACTGCTAGGAACACTCACGGAAGCGCAGGGTAAAGCGCGAGAACAAGCAGTACACTCCATCGCCGTTAAGGTACCATGCTCAATATAGGCTACTGACGGTTTCCTGCATTCGCGTTTGACTTCTCGTTCTCACGTCCTCTTTCCCTCATTGGTCGTTCTTCCCTCATATTCACAAATAGGATCAAACCAGTGTGTCCAGCACCCCAGACGCCTCAAAGTCGGCTTTAAGACGGCTTCCTTCCTTCCTCTCCCCCACTGTCCACCACCATCCTTCCGACCTTTACCTCTCGACCCTCCTCCTTTGCTGTCCATCCCTCCCCCCTTCTCTCCCCCCCCCTCCCCTCCCCCCTCCTCCCGCTTCCCCTCCCGCCCCTCTGTTCCAGCGCAGTATTCGTGAGCTGGCATCTGCCCTATCAGCGGACGCCACGTCACTGGAGGGAGTCGCCGCTGCTCGGCTGCGATTGGGCGAGGAAGCAGCCAATCAGAAGCTGTTTGGTGCTACGCGGATATCTGCCCTGCTTATAGACGATGGGCTTAGAGGCGGGGTGGCTCATAACGGGGATGTGAACTGGGGGGTGGGAGGAGGAGAAAGCGGATCGTTTGAACCAGGAGCAGCAACAGAAACAGCAGAAGTTGTGGCATCAGCAGTAGCGCAAGAGGGAGGGCAGCAGGCAGTTTCCAAGTCAACCCGCAGGCCACCGGAAGTAGAGCAGCAGAGGGAGGCGAAACGGCCAGGAGAAGAGCAAGGAGGAAATCGGAGGGGAGAGCAGGGAGGAGAAGGGGGAGGAGAGCGGGGAGAGGAGCAGAAGCAGGAGCAGGGAGAGGGGCAAAGATGGAGGTGGAGGGGCGTGGCATGGCACGAGTCGCTGGTGCCGGTGGTGCGGCGAGTGCTCAGGCTGGAGACTGTAGCGGAAGATATTCTGCTGGGACCTGCGCCAGGTGGCACGTGGACATTGGGCAGCTTCTCCAAGCAGTTCCACGATTCCATTGATCCATATCCTTCAATTTGACACCTTCGAAGCCGTGTGTGTTTTTGTCGTGAATGTTCTTAGCAATGCTGGCGGACGGGAGGCCTACCTTGTCCATGTCCGAATCCTGGCCCCCCCATCCTGGCCCCCCCATCCTGGCCCCCCCATCCTGGCCCCCCACCCCATCCTGCCCCACCCATCCTGCCCCCCCCATCCTGGCCCCCCCATCCTGCCCCCCCCATCCTGGCCCCCCCATCCTGGCCCTCCCATCCTGCCCCCCCCATCCTGCCCCCCCCATCCTGGCCCCCCCATCCTGCCCCCCCATCCTGGCCCCCCCATCCTGGCCCCCCCATCCTGGCCCCCCCATCCTGCCCCCCCATCCTGCCCCCCATCCACAAGGTAGGCGGCCTGGCCTTGCTTGTGGAGGGGAGTTGAATTGTCTGGAATTGTGTGGAAAATGGGATGCGATACCTTTCATCCATCCATTCACTGTCCTCTGGTTCACCCTTGTGGGAAAATAACGTTTGCAATCTTGTCTCTCAATCCACATCCCCAATCCGCTGAGAGAGACAAGATATGGTTCATGTTGTCGCAATACACATTTGGACACCATTCGTTCTCCTTGACTTGTCGTGACTCCTCTTCACCTTCCTTCATTCTTCTTGACCCATCCTGAACCATCTTGACCCTTGTTGACCTGTAATCACCGCACACCACCGCCCGGAGTGGTGGCGTTCAAGAGCATTGCAGCGTACCGCTGTGGTCTCTCCATCGATCCTTTTGTAACGCCTTCTGAAGTGGAAATCGGCATTCAAGCCACTCTGGGTGAGTGTGTGTGTTCGACCTTTTCCTTGCTCCCTCTCTTCCTCCCGCCCCCCCCCTGTATCCTGTCCACTCTCATCAACCTGTTACTGGCGCTTGCTCAAGTGGACCTCGGCCCTGCCAAACTCCTCCTAAGCCTTCCACTGATAGACCACTCCGTTGATACTTCCTTCTTCAGCAAAGCCTCCACTGAAGCCTTTTTTCTCTGTCCCTGCTTAAGTTGCAGTCCGCCTCTCTACTCTCTCAAACGGCTCTCTGTTCTGGTCGGTGCCTATGTGTGCAGCCACCCACTAGTTTGTTAATGCCCATGTGTAGGGAATTTTTGAGAATTCTCAAAAACACAGTGGATGCCGCACAGACTGAACCTGGTGATCCAAACTTCATATAATGTGCATCATGGTATGAATCTGGTGAAGATTAGTGCACTCAATCCCTCTGTATGATCGTTGACCATCTTTGTTACTCCCAATCCAAACCCTCAGCTTCGGTAATCCAAACCTCTCCGCCGAGCCTGCGCCTGTGTGATCCCCGAGTGATTAGCTTCTGCATCGCTACAGCCCTGGCAGTGGCGGCCAAGCATCAGCTGCCGTTGCAGATACACTGTGGGTGAGTGATGGGTTTATGTTTGCTTTGGTTGATAAGCCTTTGTGAATGTGAATGGTGGATGCTTGCTGATTAGCCGCTGAGTCGTTACGGCCCGTGCTGTGGCAGTCAAACATTAGTTGCCGCTGGAGATACATTGTGGGGTGAGTGATGAGTCTAGGTATGGTTTGGTTAATCGGCCTATGTAATTGTGAAAGGTGGATGGTTGATGATCAGCCTCTGCATTGCTACAGCCCTTGCAGTGGCAGCCAAGCACCACCTGCCGCTGCAGATACACTGTGGGTGAGTGATGGGTTTATCATGAATGGTTGATGAGACACTGCGGTTGTTAAATGGTGGATGCTTGGTGATCGGCCCTTGCAGCGGCAGCCAAGCATTTGCTGCCGCTGCAAATACCATGTTGTGGCATGGTGATGGGTATGTGATGAGGTGTGGCATGGTGACCATACTGTGCTTGATCAGCCTGTGTGAATGTGAATGGTGGATTTGATGATCAGCTCCTCCATTGCAACGGCCCTTGCTGACTGGCAGCCACGGATTAGCTGCCTCGAGCAGCCAAGCAACAGCAGCCCCAAACTGCCAAACTTAAAGTTGATTCTTGTGGCAGGCAGGGGGGTTCTCCTTAAGCACCTTTTGCAAAAACACTACAACAGCATGTTGGAATATGCAAAACAGCTTCACGAACTTGAGCCTCTCTTATCGTGCTTCTTCAACTCGCATCTCTTTCACAACTGCACCATCAACACATTAAAACGTCCTCGGCTCTTTCACCCAGGGAGAAAAAAAATAACAAAACAAAAAAAAAGGGGGGGGGGGGGTAAATTTTGCATCTTTTTTCATTGCCTGAAATTCCGTAGTAAGTGCCTCCCCTTCTTTCTCCTTCCCTGTCCAGTTTTGGCGACAGGGATTTGGATCTGGCAGCAGCCAACCCTCTGTGCCTGCGCTCCCTGCTGGAGTATAACGAGGGGCTCGTGGAGGTGCCAGTGGGGGAGGTGCCAGAGGGGGAGGCACATGCGGGGGCACGTGGGAAGGCGCGTGGGTTGGGGTGCAGCCATGCAAGCTATGCGGCGCAGATTGTTCTCCTGCACTCGTGCTATCCGTTTATGAGGGAAACTTCGTACCTTGCTTCTGTGTACACCATGGTACGGCATCACTTGCATGTGTGTGTGTGTGTGTGTGTGTGTGTGTGTGTGTGTGTGTGTGTGTGTGTGTGTGTGTGTGTGTGTGTGTGTGTGTGTGTCTGTGTGTGTGTGAGTGTGTGGGTGACTGAGTGTGAGTGTGTGGATGCATGTTCTCCAAAAAATTTCATAGCTCGTGCCGTTGGTGCGGAGTCAGCCTCAGAAAACCAACCACAGGGATGGTAATTGGCGGTTGGGAGGAATCATTCTATCGTCTATTGTATTAATCCTTCTTATAATTAAACTATTTGCAGAGAACTTAGCATCAGTGCGGCACATGTCGTCCGTCCATCCATCTTTCTCAGTTGTATGTGGATTGTGTGGTCTGGTGTCCAGCAAGTGCCATACCACATGCACCACACCTGCAAGTGTGACTTAACATCCTTGTTCCACATCTTCCATCCATCTTTGTTCCGCAGGTGTATGTGGAATGAGGGCTGGTTTTCAGCAAGTGTAATACCACATGCACCATGCCTACAAGTGTCATCCCTGTTCCACGTCTTCCATCCGTCGCTCTCAGGTGTACGTCGACTGTGGGCTGGTATTCAGCAAGCTCTCCCTCTCAGGCATGAAGGCCGCCCTCCTTGACTTGCTTGACCTCGCCCCTCTCACCAAGGTTCGTGCTCGTTGACTAGTCCTGTCTCACACCCCTGACTTGCGTTGACCTTGCTTGACCTCGCCCCTCTCAACAAGGTCTGTGCTCGTTGTCCTGTCTCGCTCACACTCACCCTTGACTTGCGTTGACCTGCTTGACCTCGCCCCTCCCAACAAGGTCCGTGCTCGTGGACTTGTCTCACTCACGCACGCTTGACTTGCATTGACTTTGCTTGACTTCTCTCCCTTCTGTTATGCTTGTGACTCCCATGTTGACTGCTTAATCTCGCCTGCTTAAAAGGACCCGCTGCTCTGCTATCGTGCGTAAGGATGTAATAGCTGCAGGAAATTCTCTTTGCCACACACTTATCCCCATCATTATATGACACCTGTTTTTACCGCGAAATTTCAGGTCATGATGAGCACAGACGCTGTGGGATTTGCCGAGCCTTACTATTTGAGTAAGTTGCCATTATTTACGAGCATGTTTTCATTGTTATGTATGATATTATGTTTTATGGTCAACGTCATTATCTTTCATTATTATCAGGTGCCATGTGGGGAAGGCGCATCCTCTTTCTTGCTCTTGCATCAATTGTGCAAGGAGGTGACCTTACTCTTTCAGAGGCGTTCCAAGCCGCATGTGGAATTTTGCACAACAATGCACTTCGACTGTACCGAATTGACATGCTGAGCGTTGTCCCTCCCGCCATATTGTAGTGTAACTCAGTGGTACGTATACAATAATAAGAAGGGTGGAGCATCAAGCTTTTAGGATGGTACATTTGTGCAATCCATTTTTTTTTTTTTTTTTTTTCATCTCCAGGCATTTTTGTTTTCTCTAAACGGATGCTCTTTTCAGCGGCCTGTGTTGTGCATGGAAGCTTCCGTTCCGTCCACTTTTCCCCGCTCGCATTTAAAGCCAATCCGTGGATGCCAGCTCGCCCTGCTTTCCTTTTTTTCTACCAATACCCCAACAGGGCATCAGATGGCCCTGGGGGAGCCGCCAGAAGCATCAGCACACGCCAGACCAAGTCGCACAGATGCCAGACATGTGACAAAATTGGCGCGCCGCGACGTTTTTTGGATCATTCATGTGGCCCATGGGCAGGAAGGTTTTACCACCAACGCAAATATCTCCACATGGTTGCCCACGTGGTCCAGCCCCCGAATGTTTTCGCACTGCAACTTTTTTTACGACCCAATGGCGATCCCCCCAACCACACCACACCACACCTTCGCTCAGCTCCCAAACCAATTCCCCGTCGTGGTTCACGAATCGTCCCAAACCGATAATGGTGGTGTGTGGTGTACAAGGGTCGTCCCAAAGCGCGTGTTTCGAAAAAAAATCCAAGGGGCTTCAACAAGGTGATCAGCGTTCAAAAGCGGTGAAATTAGTATATAGAGCGATGCTGTTTAGTCACGATAATCCCTGAGTCACGATAATGTAATCCCTGAGTCATGGTACCTGTTGCTGCCTTTCCTCGATGTTAGATTTCTGCTTCTTCCTTTCTCCCCTTCGTCTCCCGTCCTGGGTTGGAAGCAACAATACTTGCTTGCTTGTTTGTGTTGGAGATTATCGCGCTAGACGTTCAGCACAAAGATCGATGGCGTGATTTTCACTTGTTGTCGGCATAATTTCGCATTAAATCATGCGCATAATATGCGGGAGAGCTTGCGTATTCTTAGCAACGGATAATCTACTAGAGCTGTTATGACCGCAATTCTCTAAAATGGTCGATTATTGCAAAAAACCAAGCTCGGATCTTTAGTCGCGAAAAGAAGCTTGTTGCGATGTTTCGAGATTCAACGAAATAGCTGTTGATCGCGAAAGCTTGTTGTCCAGGCTTCCAAGTCAAACTTGACGCGAAATCGCTCGGATAGCCGTTTCTTTTGAGCTTTTGGAAGGGAAGCCGTCATGGGTCGAGGAAGGAATCGCGATGCGGATTTCAAATTGCCGGAAAGCAGCCGGTTCGACAATGAGGACGTCGAGCTGTCGGTCGGCAAGCAGGTGCGAGACCGTTGTCCAATTTCAATCTAGAAATGTCATTGAAAACTGACGGTCAGTCACCGTCAACATCGCCTTGACAGCATTCGTTTCGTTATTTCCGTGGGAAAACCGACTTGGAGGTCTGATAGACCTGGCCTCAACGTTTTTTTGTCATTCGTTCTCGTTAAGGGCGAACGGTCTTCGCTCTTTGTTCTCGTGGCTGGCGTGCCGTTGTCGTTCTCGTGACACATCCTCCATTGAAAGTGCAATCCCTCCCGCACGGTACCGCATTCTCGGGTGAATTGACGAGGATCGGACGGAGACACTTTAGCCCTGCTTCCAAATCTCAGATCAGGCGATGGGCCACGGAGACGATTCTCGGGCAGCCCGTCTGGCGGTTGAACACTGATCACATGGCCTCCGCGTATCACTGGTTAATATGCTCAGTCGTGTAACTCCATTTCCCGAATCTCAGATCAAGCGATGGGCCACGGAGACAATCCTCGGGCAGCCCTTCTGGCGGTTCAACCGCGGCGGCGGCGACGACTCCGCGTCCACCTTCGCGGGGCGATGGCCCGGCGGCAGCGGCGGCGTGAGCTCCGGCGTGTCAGGCGTCAACACGGACGGCAGCTCCTCGTTCTGGCTCGGCGCCAACGGAGGCGACTCGGTGCGCGGCGGCTCGGTGCGGGGCCGCGCGATGCTGCAGCGGTCGACGACGGTCGGGATATGCATGCCGCGGAACATGGAGCTCGCGTCGCTGCGCGTGATCGACCCTGAAGACGCGTGAGTTGCTGCCGCTAGACTACTAGTGATGGGGTGTGGATGAGGGTGTGGTGTGGTGGTGAAGGGTGGGAGCAGGTGGTTGGATGGGATGGGGGGGGGAGTGGGCCGAGGGACAGAGGAGCACGGAGCTCGAGTCGCTGCGCGTGATCGACCCGGAGGACGCGTGAGTCGCGGCCTCTAGAGAACGGGTGATATGGTGTGATGAATCCATGTCTTGCCTTTTCGCTGGTGCCTCCTCCCTCCTCGCTTCGCCTCCATCATTCCCCCTCCCTTCTCATTTTCCTCTTGTAATTTGGCTGAATGGAATTTGGCTTATAATAATTTCTTGCCTTTTCTCCTGTGCTTCCTCCCTCCTCGCTCGCCGCTCCTCCTTCCTCCCTCCTCCCTCCTTCCTTCTCCCTTCTGCATCCCTCCCCCTCCTTCCTCGTCCATCCAGCTATCTGTTACTATAGGAGCAGGTGGCTCTAGTCCTGGGTGGCTACTCTGCTTTAGTCACACCCTTCGAGTTTTCTTTTCTTGCAACTACTTTCTTGCCTTTCGTCATGTGCCTCCTTCCCTCCTCTCTCGGCCGTCCAGCTATCTGTTATTATGGGAGCAGGTGACTCTAGTCCTGGGATTCTACTCCGCTTTAGTCACGCCCTTCGAGTTCTCTTATCTTGCAACTAATTTCTTGCCTTTCGTCATGTGCCTCCTCCCTTTTCCCTCCTGCGTCCTCCCATCCAGCTATCTGTTACTATGGGAGCAGGTGACTCTAGTCCTGGGATTCTACTCCGCTTTAGTCACGCCCTTTGAGTTCGCCTTCCTCGCGGACAGCATGCCCGTGTGGCTGACGTGGCTTGACGTGGCAGTCAACTTCTGCTTCCTGGCGGATCTCCTAGTCACGTTCTTTGTCGCATTCAAAGACAAGCACACCTACACACTCGTTACAAGCCACTGGAAGATCGCCGAGAGGTGAATGAAGGGTAAACAGTGAGGTGAAAGGGGAGAGGGGTGGGTCGAGAGAGGGAGAGGGTTCGGGGACTTGTCGCCTCCTAGTCACGTTCTTTGTGGCGTTCATAATTAAGCACACCTACGCCCTCGTCACAAGCCACTGGAAGATCGCTGAGAGGTGAATGGGGAGGGGAGACAGAGGGGTGGGCGAGAGACAGAGAATGAAATGAGAGGGGGTGGGGCAGGAGAGGAGAGAGAGGGCTTGGGACCAGTCGTCTCCTGGTGGCGTTCTTTGTCGCTTTCAAGGACAAGCACACGTACACCCTCGTTACAAGCCACTGGAAGATCGCTGAAAGGTGAATTGGGGTGGTAGACCGAGGGATTGGAGAGAGAGAATGAAGCGAGACGGGGTGGGGTAAGAGACGGGAGAGAGGGCATTGGGCCAATTGCCTCCTGGTGACCTTCTTTGTCGCTTGGACAAGCACACGTACACCCTCGTTACAAGCCATTGGAAGATCGCTGAAAGGTGAATGGGGGTGCGAGATACCTCTTCTCCTACTTCCTCACAGACCTGCTCGCGCTGGTCCCCTTTCCCTCCGCTCACCCCTCCGCCTAACTCACTCTTACCTCCCCGACCCCAATCGCCTTACTGCAGGTACTTATTATCCTACTTCCTCACGAACCTGCTCGCGCTCTTCCCCCTTCACTACTTTCACTGCGCTCCCTGCTCTCACCTTCCCCCCTATCTGTCTGGTTCGGCCCACCACACCCCATCGCCTTACTGCAGATACTTATTATCCTACTTCCTCACGGACCTGCTCGCGCTCTTCCCTTGGAACACCTTCTACCAGGTAGGTAGAACCAGGGTAGGTAAAACAAGGGTAGGTACAAGCAGGTTGGATTAACTAGGGTAGGTACAACCAGGGTGGGCACAACTTCAATCTGTTCGAATACTTCCCCCCCTCCCTCTCCATGCATCTATGTTCAGCTGGCAGGTGCCAGTGGGGCAGCCAACCTGCTGCAGTGGCTGCTGTGGTGTGGACTCGAGTGCTCCTTGGACGCTTCCCTCTATGCGCACAATTCTCCCCACCATCTCCTCTTCCCCTCTTCCCCTCCTCCGCCCTTCCCCTCTTCCTCACTCCCCCTTATTGTACTGTGAAACAGCTGGTAGGTGCCAGTGGGGCAGCCAACCTGCTGCAGTGGCTGCTGTGGACTCGAGTGCTCAGGATGCGACACCTCTTCAGATACTTCCGCAGGTGCGGGATGAGCAAGGGGCGAACACGAACACTGTCCGGTTCGGCGAACACTTTAAGCAAAAACTCGTGTTCGCCGTTCGCCTGTGAAGGCGTGTTCGGGCGAACGTCGAACACGTTCGTGTTCGTCACGGGGCAAATTGCAGCAGCGGCCCGAACACGAACGTGTTCGGGCGAACATCGAACACTGATCGGCGAACAATTTAAGCAAAAAAAACAAACCTGTTTGGTTCGCCTCGAACACGTTCGAGGCGAACCAAACAGGTGTTCGCCCTTGTGCTCATGTCCCATGTCCTAGAATCACACCACCGGGGGTCACTGAAACCAGTCACGGATAACCTCCCATGTCAGTCTAGAGAGTTGCTACCACACCGCACGGCTGTAAGGCCTCGCCTTCTGCAGTGGCTGCTGTGCTGTGGACTCGAGTGCTCAGGATGCGACACCTCTTCAGATACTTCCACAGGTGCGCGGGTGGGGGGTGTCCTTAAGTCATACCACAAAGCTGCTGCCTTGCCTCCTGCAGTGGCTGCTGTGATTTCCAAGGTTCACATGTTAATCACAACTGCTCCTATGTTCAGCGTTTGACATTTGGTTTCCCAGGGTCAGGAGCTTCAAGCAGCGTTGACGTTTGTTTCCCCACTCACACCATCCTCACCAGGTTACAGAGGGACATCCGCCTGAGCTACTTCGCAGTCCGCTTCCTGAAGCTGATCATCGTGGAGATGTACATCACACACGTCGCCTCTGTTCACACACACTCTCCCCACCCACCACTCCCACCACTCCCACCACCACCAGGCTCCAAAGAGACATCCGCCTGAGCTACTTCGCAGTCCGCTTCCTGAAGCTGATCATCGTGGAGATGTACATCACGCACGTGGCCGGCTGCTTCTTCTACTTCCTCGCCACCACCATGCCGCCCAAGGAGCAGGGCTACACCTGGATCGGCTCCCTCACCCCCCGGGTCCTTGCAGGCCCAGAAACAAGCTGCCACTTCTGACCGGACCTCCCTTGCTCCCTGCCACACACGCACACACATCTACCACATTCCCACCACCAGGTTACAGCGCGACATCCGCCTGAGCTACTTCGCAGTCCGCTTCCTGAAGCTGATCATCGTGGAGATGTACATCACGCACGTCGCCGGCTGCTTCTTCTACTACCTCGCCACCACCATGCCGCCTGAGGAGCAGGGCTACACCTGGATCGGCTCCCTCACCCTCGGCGACTTCTCCTATGAGAACTTCCGAGAAGTGGATCTGTTCACGAGATACGTGACAGCGCTGTACTGGTCCGTGGTGACCATGGCGACGATTGGATATGGGGATATTCATCCGGTTAACCCCAGGGAGATGATCTTTGCCATGTTCTACATCACGGTCGACCTCATTCTTTCGGCCTATCTTATCGGTAAGCGACTGGGAGGTGGATCTATTAACGAGATATATGACGGCGCTGTACTGGTCCGTGGTGACAATGGCAACAATCGGTTATGGAGATATTCATACTGTCAATCCCAGGGAGATGATATTCGCCATGTTCTACATCACGGTCGACCTCATCCTCTCGGCTTATCTTATTGGTGAGTCTGTCACTCAAAAGTGAGTCGTGATACCTCGCTGGTGGTGGTTATGGAGACATACACCCCGTCAATCCCAGGGAGATGATATTCGCCATGTTCTACATCACGGTGGATCTGATCCTCTCAGCATATCTCATCGGTGAGTTTCGCTGTCAGTAATCAGCCAGAGGTACCTCTCCTCTTCTCTCCTCTCCTCTCCTCTCCTCTCCTCTCCTCTCCTCGCGTTTATCTCATTTCTTCCCCCCCTGTGCGCATTAATTCAGGAAACATCACGGCACTGGTGGTGAAGGGCAGCAACACCACCAAGTACCGGGAGAGAATGGCGCGGGTAATCAAGTACCCTTTCTCTCTTGTACCTTCACTTCTCCCATCTCCCTCCTCCCGTCTGTGCAATCCTCTTTCTAGGAAACATCACTGCGCTGGTGGTGAAGGGCAGCAACACCACCAAGTACCGGGAGCGCATGGCGCAGGTCATCAAGTACATGAACCGCAACCGCATTCCCCGAGTGCTGCGCCACCAGATGCGCCAGGTGAGTGCAGCAGAGGGGGCAGGTGAAGTGCCTTTTGAGTCGACTCAAAAGTCAACCGCATTCCCCGGGTGCTGCGCCACCAGATGCGCCAGGTGAGAACAACAGACAGGGCAACTGAATGAACGGTTGGGAGGGATTCCGGATTTTCACGCCTCTCTTGCATCACAGCACGTACGCCTGCAGTTCAAAACCGACCAGGTGGAGGGCAACATTTTCAACGACTCCCTTTGTCATTTCCTCCCTTTCTCCCCGTTTTGTCCAATCCTTACACACCCTGCCATCGCATCACAGCACGTGCGCCTGCAGTTTGAAACGGACCAGGTGGAGGGCAACATTCTCAACGACCCTTATTCTTCGCCCTTCTCCTAACTTCCCTCCTCCCACTCGCCCTTCCCTCCCTTTCCTTCTGCAGCACGTGCGCCTGCAGTTTGAAACCGACCAGGTGGAGTGGAGGACAACATTCTGAACGACTTCCCTGTCCCTGTGCTCTCCCTCCCCCTGCACTTGCTGCTCCGTCTCTCCCTTTCCGCCCATCACAGCATGTGCGCCTGCAGTTTGAAACCGACCAGGTGGAGGACAACATATTGAACGACTTCCCTGTGAGCATACGGCACAAGGTGGCGCGGGCTTTATACCGGCGGCTCGTGGAGCAGAGCTACATCTTCCAGGGCTGCTCGCCTGAATTTATTAACCAGATCGTGAGTGGCCTCATTCCTCCCCACTCCTCTCCACTCCTCTCCTCCACTCCGCTCCGTTCCTCTCCACTACGCTCCACTCAACATTCTCGACGACTTCCCTGTGGGCATACGTCACAAGGTGGCACGGGCTTTATACCAGCGGCTCGTGGAGAAGAGCTACATCTTCCAGGGCTGCTCGCCCGAGTTCATCAACCAGATTGTGAGTGGTGGGGGGGGGGGGGGAGGTTGTAGTATGGTAGGGGAAGGTGCTTGTGAGTTGTGGGGATGGCATGATGCCAGAGCTGTACTGTACTGGTGGCGGCTGGTGGAAGAGAGCTACATCTTCCAGGGCTGCTCGCCCGAGTTTATTAACCAGATTGTGAGTGGTTGGGTGGGGGTGTTGTGCGGTGAGGAAGGTGCTTGAGGTGGGTGGTGCTTGTTGTGAGTGGTGCTTGTTGTGAGTGGTGCTTGTTGTGAGTGGTGCTTGTTGTGAGTGGTGGCAATGGCATCTCAAGTCAGCTTCTCCGTCTGCCCCGACTTTGCACTTGCATCCATCCCACCCCATCCCACCCCACCCCACTCCACCCCACCCCACCAACCAGGTGACCAAGGTAACACAGAGCACTACTTCCCCTCAAAAAGAATTCAACACAGAGACTCCCCCGAGCGCCTCTACATCATCTGCTCTTACCCCAACCAAAGCAGACCCCATTCTCCCATCCCTTCCACCGCACCCCACCGCACCCAACCCCACCCCACTCCACCCCACCCCACCAACCAGGTGACCAAGGTAACACAGAGCACTACTTCCCCTCGGAGGTGGTGATTCAACACAGAGACTCCCCCGAGCGCCTCTACATCATCTGCTCTTACCCTCCACTCAAACACAGCCCTTTCTCCCATCCCTTCCACCGCACCCCACCCCACCCCACCCCACCCACCAGGTGACCAAGGTAACCCCAGAGCACTACTTCCCTTCAGAAGTCGTCATTCAGCACAGAGACTCCCCCGAGCGCCTCTACATCATCTGCTCGGGCAATGTGGAGGAGACCTCCCCTTCCTCTTCTGCTGACGGCGGCCGGCACTTCTCAGAGCTCGCCACCGGCTCGGTAAGTGGGTCTGCTGTTTCATGACTTCTTGCTGTGGGGTGGGGGGTGGAGGGTGGGGGTTGGAGGGTGGAGGGTATGGGATGGAGGTTGTGAGATGTGGAGAAGACCTCTCCTTCCACCTGAGGACGATGGCCGGCACTTTTCGGAGCTCGTCACCGGCTTGGCTTGGTGGGTTTGCCTTGTCAGTGGTGTGGGACGTGGTGGGGTGGAGTGTCTTATGCATGGGTTGGCTGGGTTGGGGCAAGTGTCCTCCCCAACTCGGGTTAGGCCCAGTGAGTTGGCCCTGTGTTTTTGCTTTGAGATTGTAGCATGCAACATCACAGGTAGAGAGGTTATTTTTGAGACGTCTCAGAAAATAACCTCTCTACACGTGGTAAGGCGCAGTGAGTTGGCCCTGTGTTTTTGCTTTGGGATTGTGACATGCAACATCACAGCCGTTTCGTTGCTAAGCCTATCTATCCCTTTCTCCCGCCGTCCCCTGGTTACCACCTGCCTACCCACCCGCCCCCTTCTCCTCCCTCAGATGTTTGGAGAGGTTGCAGTGCTATGCAACATTCCACAGCCCTTTGACGTCTCAGTCATCGAGTTCTGCCAGGTGTGCTGTTCCGGCCTGCCTTGATCCTGCAATGGTTGCAATGGCTGCTCGATTCTTCATCTTCTATGCAAAAGCGAACAATGGTTCACTGTTGCGTTCTATTGAGCCCATGCTGCTTGCGATGCTGCTTGCAATGCTCCTTGTGATGCTGCTTGTGATGCTGCTTGCGATGCTGCTTGCGATGCTGCTTGGCATGTCAATAGAGTGTGTTTTCACAACATTCCGACTAAGCCACTCCCACCCTTGTGCTCACCCAGGTGCTGCGGCTGGAGAGGGATGATCTGAACACGGCAATCAACACCTTCATGGTGGATGGGAGGAAGATAGTCGACAACTTGTTGGAGGTGAGTGAGTGAGTGAGTGAGTAAATCAAGTTGCTGCCACCCAGTTTTTCTCCCTTCTTTTCATAAGGGTTGAGAGGCGGGAGAGGGAGGGAGGAAGAGTTTCTGTGCTAATTGGTGTTTGTGAATGCCTCCCCCTCTTCCTACTCCCCCCCTTCCCCCAACCCGCCTACCCACTCCCCCAATCCCACAGCGCACAACGGAGACAGGCAGCAAGTACGCATTGCTAGCATCAGATATCATGTCGTTGATCGCACAGCAGGAGGCAGATCTCTCCTCTCCCGCATTCCTTTCCCGCACCCTACACCCCCCTGCCTTCCATCCCACAGCGCACAACGGAGGCAGGCAGCAAGTACGCATTGCTGGCATCGAAAGCTACCCCCTCGCCCTTCCTCTTCCTGTCTCCCTATCCCCCTTTTCCCCACCCCACTCCGCAGCGCACAACGGAGACAGGCAGCAAGTACGCATTGCTGGCATCGGAAATCACGTCCCTGATCGCCCAGCAGGAGGCGGAGCTGACGATGACGACCATCTATGCGGCCTCGCGGGGGGACATCGAGCATCTCAAGAGGCTGATCAAGGCGGGAGCGAATGCAGGGAAGGCGGATTATGACGGGCGCACGCCATTGGTGGGTTTCAGGGTAGTGGGAAGAGGGAGGGGAGGGGGGTGGGGAGGGGAGAGTGGGGGTGGAAGTTGTTTGATTCCTTTTACAGGAGGGCGTGGACGTGATCAGCCAGGACAGCTTTGGCCCCACAGGCTGTGATATTCCCCTCATATAAGTTTGACATTCCCCTCCCCTCATCCACCCCCACCTCTCCCCTCCCCTCTCTTCCTCCCATCCTCCCCCCAGCACCTGGCAGCAGCAGGCAGGTACGATGAGGTGGTGCGCTTCCTGCTGCTAGAAGGAGCGGACGTGAACAGCATTGCTAGAAGGAGCGGACGTGAACAGCATTGATTGTTTTTGAGACGTCTCAAAAACAACCTCGCTTCAACCGGACGTGAACAGTCCTGATAGAGGCTGCTGATCCATTGACAACTTGGGTACCACACCGCTGCTGGAGGCACTGCGGGCGGATGTGAACAGTCCTGATAGAAGCTGAACATCCCTCTATCTCTCCCCCATCGCCCCCATGATTCCCCCGCGCTTCACTTCGACATTGCGTCAGCACCTGGCAGCAGCAGGGGGGGTGATTTTTGAGTCGACTCAAAAGTCACCTGGCAGCAGCAGGGGGGGGGGTACAACGAAGTTGTTCGCTTCCTGCTCCTGGAGGGTGCGGAGGTGAACAGTCTCGACAACTTCGGCACCACGCCACTGCTGGAGGTACCTCATCTCCCCATCTCCCCCACCCTTCCCATCCTCTCCCCCATCTCCAGCACCTGGCAGCTGCAGGGGGCTACGATGAGGTGGTTCGCTTCCTGCTACTAGAGGGAGCGGATGTGAACAGCCTTTGTCAACTTTGGTACCACAGCCTGTGTTGCGATCCCAGGTTGACATCTCCCCAATCCACCCTACCTCTCCCTTCCCATCCCTCCCATCCTCCCCCCAGCACCTGGCAGCAGCAGGGGGCTATGATGAGGTGGTTCGCTTCCTGCTCCTGGAGGGTGCGGATGTGAACAGCATGGACAACTTTGGCACCACGCCGCTGCTGGAGGCACTGCGGGCTGGGAATGACTCGACTGCTAAGATCCTGACGGAGAAGCATGGCACTGTGAACCTGCAGGTGCGTGCGTGTGTGCTGCACTGGCCCATGCACAGGCCCATGGTATGGGGTTGGCGTGGTGGGGTGTCCTTACACGCTGCTGGAGGCACTGCGGGCGGGGAATGACTCGACTGCTAAGATCCTGACGGAGAAGCATGGCACTGTGAACCTGCAGGTGCGTGCGTGTGTGCTGCACTGACCCATGCACAGGCCCATGGTATGGGGTTGGCGTGGTGGGGTGTCCTTACACGCTGCTGGAGGCACTGCGGGCGGGGAATGACTCGACTGCTAAGATCCTGTCGGAGAAGCATGGCACTGTGAACCTGCAGGTGCGTGCGTGTGTGCTGCACTGACCCATGCACAGGCCCATGGTATGGGGTTGGCGTGGTGGGGTGTCCTTACACGCTGCTGGAGGCACTGCGGGCGGGGAATGACTCGACTGCTAAGATCCTCACAGACAAGCACGGCACTGTGAACCTGCAGGTGCGTGCGTGTTCGCTGCACTGGCCCATGCGCAGGCCCATGGTATGGGGTTGGCGTGGTGGGGTGTCCTTACACGCTGTTGGAGGCACTGCAGGCAGGAAATGACTCCACTGCTAAGATTCTGATGGACACACACGGTGCTGTCAACCTTTTGAGTCGACTCAAAAGTCAACTCCACTGCTAAGGTTCTGACGGACAAGCACGGTGCTGTCAACCTGCAGGTGCGTGCGTGTGTGTTTAGGGTGTGAAGGTATTGCATGGTATGGCTGGGCATGGCAAGGGCTGCGATGTCTGATTTTACTGCAGGAAGCCCTTTCCCTCCCCATCCCTTTCGCTTCCAAATTCCCCCCCACTTTCATGCCCCTCCATATCCCGTCCCCTTCCCTCCCATCCACTTCACCCCACACTGTCCACTTAACTCCCAGAAAGCAGGCACGGATCGGTGCAAAGCGGTGATGAGGGGTGACATGGGACTGCTGAGGAGACTGCTGATCAACCCCAATGCAGCCGACTACGACCTCCGCACACCCCTCCACACTCCCCTCCCCTCGCTCCGAAGTCTGCCCCATTCCCGTGCCCCTCGTCTCCCCTTCCCCTTCCCATACCCCTTTCCCCACCCTACTCCCACCCACATAATCTCTTTTCCATTAGGAAGCAGGAACAGACCTATGTAACGCTGTCATGCGAGGCGACACGGGGTTGTTGAGGAGGCTGCTGGTCAACGGAGTCAACCCCAATGCTGCCGACTACGACCTCCGCACGCCCCTCCACATCGCATCCGCCGAGGGATTCGTCCAGGTGGCGCGTCTACTGGTGGAGCACGGTGCTGACGTGGCAGCACTGGATAGGTGGGGCAATTCGTCGCTGGATGAGGCGCGCCGATGTGGCAGCCTGCCATTGATCCACCTGTTGGAGGAGGCCATGCGGGAACGGGGGCTACTGATTGGTGGGGAATCCGTTGAGGATGGTTCTGAGAGGGAAGGCGGAGAGGAAGGAGCAGGGACAGAGGCGGGAACAGGGGCAGGGAAACCACCAGCAGCAGCTGCTGCGTCTGCTGCTGCAGCAACGGCTGCTACAGCCGTGGCTGCTGCATCACTCAATGCCACTGCTGCTGCCGGAGTATCCTCTATGCCAGCAGCACCCACTGCAACACCAAGCTCTGCTGCCATACCCTCTGCTGCTACTCCTGCCACTAATGCTTCTGGTGCCACCACTGCAGCTTCCTCTGCTGCTCCTTCCACTGCCGCTTTCACTGGTGTGTCTGCTTCAGGCACTGCCAATGCAGGCACCCCATCCCCCACCCCCCTCCCCCATTCACATTCCGCGACAGCACAGGCCACCGCCCCCCTTCCTCCCCCTTTCCCCAACTCCCACTCCCTCACACGCTCCCACCCGTCCCCCCTCCTCGTCCCTGCCGATGCGGACTGGGACCGAATCACCGAGGATGGCTCGGCAACTCCCCGGATTGGCATGTCAGGCTCGGCAACGCCCCTCCTGAGTGGGCCCGGCACGCCCCAGTGGAGAGGATCGGGAACGTCGCCTGGGAGGGCGCAGTGGAGACCTCTTGGGGGTGGTGGGGTGAGGAGGACAGGTGGCAGGGCTGGAGGGATGGGGTATGGCGGCGGCGCCGGCGCCGCTGGTTCAGCTGGTGCGGCCGGCATGGGAAGATTGGTTCCTTTGGGACCCAAGGTGAGACTGTGAAAGTGGATGTTGATTTATATTGTTTTTCTCCCTATAATGGTGATGCTATTTCTGATTGTCATGGTTTTGTATCACCTGAGTGTTCGTTCCCTTGCTTGCGGTGATCATTTATGAAGAGCTCTGAGTCTCTCTCGTCCTTTGGTTACATCCATACATGTGGTATGTCTGAAATACAGGCAGCACCGCCCTATGCATACAACAGTTTTTTATTAGATAACCGCCATTTCCTTTTTTAAGTTCTTATCTCCAATCCCATTCGCTTCCATCCTTACCTCCCATTCTACTTCTCAGAGAATCACGGTGTTCCCCTTTCCCCCATGGGAACTGAAGCCTCAAAGAGTTGGGCAGCTCATGCCACTTCCTCCGTCCATCCCTGACCTCCTCTCAACGGCTTCCAGCATTTTTGGCGCGTCTTTTGTGGGTTTGGTTGGGAGTGATTCAGGGGTCGTAACGGCCGCAGATTTAATCAGAGATGGAGATAAGTTATTTTTACTGAAGGAAAATGAGATGCGTGGAGACACTTAGTCAGGTGGGCAGTGGATGCCCTACATAGATAAATGTATTATTATAGACGCTATATCATATATGCGGCAATGTATTTGTATTCTGTAACGAAATGAGCTGTAAAATGACTGGATGTTCGCTAAGGAATATGTATGAGTGGTTACTAGTTGGTGTAGAAAGTGGTCCCATACCTGTAAGGATTTACAAATCCTTACTGAGGCACTCGTTAGCGAGGCCATCTCGAGGGTCACGCGACGAACCTGACCTTCCTATTTCGTCGCACCGAACCACTCCCGAGTCGGCCTCCGCTCCAAACGCAACCATCACCGAGCCATCCCATCCCGAACCCCCCGCCTAGCTAGGTTTCCCCTATTTAGGCCTCGCTACTTCATTGTTTCTAAATTCAGTAATTCAGTAATTCAGTACTCAATCATTCTCGATATTCGTTTTACTGCGTACTCTGCAAGTTGACTCATAACAATACCACTCAAGCCTCAAGCAAAAAAGCTGGAGTCCCCTCGGGCTTCCACTTCAGCCACGTCAACAGCGGCGACATTCTCAAGGAGCTTCCCTCCATAGATGAGTTTGAGTGCTCCTAAGCGCGGTACAGATTGAGAGCAGTCGGTCGGACTCGGTGTAACAGAAATTCAGGCGGGGTCCACAACAAGCATCAGGGAGCGGGAAAAACAGGCACCCACCCATCCAATCAGCAGGATAGTTCTTCCTAGTTTAGGCACATCGTGCTAATAGCATTTCGTGCTAGTTAGTTCTGCGGGTGATTGTTGTTGATCGTTCAGTTTATATTTTCATCACAGTTCCTCCTGGATTAGTCCCTCTTTGACGGATCTAGGCGTAGAGCGATTCTCCTTCGCGCCCTTATTCCAACAGCTGCTATTCCTCCAGGAAAGTATTGCATTCCCGAAGCGTCTACCCTTGACAAAAGTTAGTTTCGAAGAATGGACTTAGCGACACCGTTTCTCGGCGACGTTCGCCTGGTTAATCTTTCACGCTCTTCGCCGTCGTCTCGCCCTTCCACAAGTCCAAGTCAGCTCATTTTGCGCTCTCCTCTCCCATCATTACCACCGTGTCGCGTCAGTCCCTCGCCTAAGTGTAACTTAGCTAAACGTCCAGCGCGGCCGGTCCCTCCACGACCGAAGCCCCAGCGACCAACAGATTCCGCTCGTTTAAACGAATCTCAGGTTTCCCCCACGCTCGATAGAAGCACATCAGCTGCCGGAACCCTTTCACGGGAAGGAGATGGCTCCTCCCAACCGCAAGCTGACTTTTCGCTTCCAGCCGGGGGAAGCAAGCTCCCGTTTTCCCCCCGCATTCCGCCGCCGCTCCCGCGGAGACCCGCCGCGACGCACCGCCTCCGCCGGCTACGGAAGCGAACGCCCAACGGCACGTTCTACCTGTCGGACGAGCTCGCGGATATCACGGAGGTCTGGTCGTCGTCGATCCTCCTCCGTCCGCTGGCCGAATCCAACGGTGGAGACGCACTGTTTGGAAATTCCCCTTCATCTCCTCCTCCTTCTCCTTCCTCAGCACCCGGCAATATCGAGGCGACTGCCACACTAGGCGAGGACTCAGGAGAAGACTCAGTGGTATCGGAAAGCGACTCGGGCGTAGCGACGTCGAGTGTGGTGTCTGAACTCGTGGCTCGAGTGGCGCGCGAGCCGATAGAAACTATAGAAAGTCTAGACCTGTCGCGTGTGCTTGAAGCGGAAGTGGGACCGAATGGGGTTTTAACGGAAGGGGTGGCGTCGGCGGTGCTGGTAGAGCTGAGCCGCGCGGGCAAGAGTCGACACGCTCTGAAACTCTTCGACTGGCTCAAGGTAGGACTATTTTTTTGTCCTCGGGTTTGGGGTTCTTGTCGAGGGTTCTGGTTAAGGTTTCAGGGTTAAATCAATTTACAACTCCCTTTTTCTCTTTCTCGCTGTACAGCTCCACCTTCTTGAACCCCTCCACACCCTGCCAAACCCCCTTCTCCCGATCCTCCCCTCATCCAGGCACGGGCATTCCTCCTGTCCACGTCAGCACACACCGCACTGATCGCCGCATTGGCGCGCAGCGGGCCGTACGCTGACGCGGCGCGTGTTCTAGCGGGCATGCGCGCCGCGGGGCTGTCTCCCACCGTCCACGCGTGCACCGCCGCCATGCAGGCCCAATCACGCGCCGGCAGGTGGCGGGCGGCGCTGCTGCTATTGGAGGAGATGCGAGGCATGGGGCTGAAACCCGATACGATGGCTTATAACGCGGTGCTCACTGCGTGTGGACGGTGAGTGTGCAGAGTGTGATGTGAACGTATGGAGGAGATTCGAGGCATGGAGTGAAACCGGCTACCATGGCCGCGCTCACTGCGTGTGGAGTGTGAGTGTGTGGGAGGTGTGTGCGTTCAATCTCCCCTTGTTCAAATTCCCTCTCTTTTCAAGCTCACAACCTTCTTTCTCCTCCCCTCATTGTCCATCTCCCATCTCTCCACACGCCCCCACACCATCCCTCGCTCGTTGTGCACCAGAGCTGGTCGCTTGCAGGAGGTATTAGCTGTATACCAGGCCATGCAGGACGACGAATGCCGCCCGTCTACTGGCACACGCGCATTGCTCATGAGCACGTTCGTCCGCGCCAACCGCTGCGACCTGGCGCTGCAGCTCTTCTTTGACGCCAGGCTGGCAGGCCAGCCCGTGACTCCCGACATGCACAGAGGACTGATATGTGTTGCATCTAAGGTGAATCGACTCTGCCATGTGTGGCTGTGTGGCTTTGTTGGTGTGTGTCAGTCAATGGGATGGACTATGAGATCCCACCGCTGCGACCTGGCGCTGCAACTCTTCTTCGATGCCAGGCTGGCAGGCCAGCCTGTCACTCTCGTCATGCACAGACGTCTCCAGTCTGTACACATCACCATCCCAAATTCAAGTTCTGGATCATCTCCAATCTGCATTTTTTTTTCAGAAAAATCAGAGGCACCCTGCACTGCACTCTCCTCCCCATACCCCCCACTCTCTCACTCTCCCTTTCCCACTATCAGGTGGGTCGCTGGCCGCTCGCTCTTGACCTCTTAGACGATCTCCTTGCCACGTGGACAGACCCGGGGGAGGAGGAACAGGCGGGCCTCTTTGTTTCCCGTTTTCTCCACCACGAACCGTCCCTCCCTCCCTCCCATTTCGTCGTCCACGTGATTCCACTATCAGGTGGGGCGCTGGCCCCTCGCTTCAGATCTCCTGGACGATCTCCTTGCCATGTGGACGGACGCGGGGCTAGCAGGCGAACCGGCAGGTATTATGAGTCGACTCAAAAGTCACCTCACTTTCTCCTGCTTCTCCCTCCCCACCTCAGGTGGGGCGTTGGCCCCTCGCCCTTGACCTCTTAGACGATCTCCTTGCCACGTGGACAGACGCAGGGGTGGCAGGTGAACGGGCAGCAGGAGCTGCTGCGGATGGTTCACGAGCAGCTGCATCGGCCGATTCGCGTATGGAGGGTATCCCTCCTGTTCCGAAAAAATATTTTGAGGCTAGGCAGGACGAGGGGCCTCCTGCTGCTGCTGCTGCTTCTGGTGGTGGTGGTGATGCTGCTGCGCCTGGTGCTGGCTCTGGCAGGGGCGGACCCAGATCGTCCGATGCTGGGAGTGGGGAGCGGTGGGAGGGGGGGAGCACGTGGGGCGAGGTTTTGGGAGCGCCCAACTCTGCTCTGCCGTTCAACGCCCTCATCTCGTCCCTTGCTCGTGCAGGTATGCTGCCTCATCTCCCTCTCTATCTCCCCCTCTCTCGCCCCTTATTTCTCACTCTCTCGCACTTACAGCTCCCTCATCTCCCAGCTCGTCCCCCCCATGTCCTCCCGATGTCCTCCCCTCCTCCTTTCCCCTCCTACCCTCCCCTCCTCCCTTCCCTCAGATCAATGGCAGGTCCCTCTTTCAGTCTGCTCCCGAATGGAAACCCTCGGAAATGCTCCGAATGTCTCTGAGTCTCTCGCTTCCCCCTTACCTCTCTCTCTCTCTCACTCCATCTCCTCCCCTCCTACCCTCCCCTCCTCCATTCCCTCAGGCCAATGGCAGATCGCGCTGTCAGTCTTTTCCCAAATGAAGAAGCTGGGCATTCCCCCGGACCACTTCACGTGGTCCGGGCTAGCTTCGGCGCTGGCTCGGGCGGGAGAATTCGACCGAGCCATGGCGTTATTTGAGCACATGGGGGAGAGAGAAGGACTTCAACCAACGCTGGTGGTGTGTAACTGCGCGCTGCTGGCATGTCAGCACAAGGCCAAGTGGCAGAGAGCACTGCAGCTGCTGTGGCGGATGGAGAGGATGGGCGTGCAGGCGGATGTGCGGAGCTACAGCATGGTCATCCGGACTTGTGAACTCGCAGGTATGTGCAAGCTTGAGTTGAGAGGCTGTGCAAGCAAGGCCGATTGACAGAGGGACGTGCCGTGCCGGTGCAATTGCACAGCCCCTTTCTTCATCCCAAAATGCACGTGTTCAATTCTCAAGTACCATTACTCAACCTCATCCTCCATCCCTCCCAACCTCCGCCCTCACCCTTCCCTACGTATCCGCATATTTCTCCCCCTTCCACACGTTTCCTCCCCCTCCATGGCAGTAAGAAGCAGCCTTCACTGTAAATCAAAGAATGCTCATGGAAATGTGCAAGCGCTCATGGAAATGTGCAAGCGCTCATGGAAATGTGCAAGCCCATCACCTTCTCTCTTGCATCTCCCCACCCCATGCCCTCTTCTGGTGCTTCGTCCACCACCCCGGTTTTCCCTCACTCTTTCCCCCCCCAGGCCAATCCGAGGCAGCCCTGACGGTGTATCAGAGAATGCTCAAGGCGGGGTGCAAGCCCAACACCTTCACCCTGGCATCACTCATTCCTTTTCTGCCCTTTCCTCCCCACTCCAGGCCAGTCCGAGGCAGCCCTGACGGTGTACCAGCGCATGCTCAAGGCGGGGTGTAAGCCCAACACCTTCACCCTGGCATCACTCACTCCTTTTCTGCCCTTTCCTCCCCACTCCAGGCCAGTCCGAGGCAGCCCTGACGGTGTACCAGCGCATGCTCAAGGCAGGGTGCAAGCCCAACACCTTCACCCTGGCATCACTCACTCCTTTTCTGCCCTTTCCTCCCCACTCCAGGCCAGTCCGAGGCAGCCCTGACGGTGTACCAGCGCATGCTCAAGGCGGGGTGCAAGCCCAACACCTTCACCCTGGCATCACTCACTCCTTTTCTGCCCTTTCCTCCCCACTCCAGGCCAGTCCGAGGCAGCCCTGACGGTGTACCAGCGCATGCTCAAGGCGGGGTGCAAGCCCAACACCTTCACTCTGGCATCACTCATCCGCATTCTCGGCAAGACCAAGGACTGGCAGGGGGCTGTGAAGATCTTTGAGGTGAGGGGGGTGAAGGTTGGGGTAAACATAGACCAGAATAAATTCCTTCATCCAGACACCATTGAAGATTCCTGGGTTGAAGCCACTGCTCCCTGCCAGTCCAAGCAAGGGAGAACAATTGCGTATGCCGCATGTTTCTTTGCCTCTTATTGAGGGTGCGCTTGCCTTTCTTCTTGCTTGCTTGCTCTCTCCTTTTCCCATTCCAGTTTCCCGTAGTGCCCACATTTTTCTCCCCGGATTTTGTTCTGCCTGGTTCCTCCTACTGATGCAGGACGCGCGGTCTTCCAACATCCCCCTTAATGCGCACCTCTTTAACGCGTTACTAGACGCACTGCTGCACAACAGGCAGGTGGCTGCAGCGCGCTTATATCGAGTACAGATGAGACGGTATGGAGTGGTGGAGGATGCGAACACTCGAGCGATTCTGAAGCGAGCGGAAGAGAGGGAGGTGGGGTGGGATGCGGAGTGGGAGGAGGAGGTGAGGGAGAGGGAGAGGGAGAAGGAGAAGGAGAAGGCAAAGGAGAGGGAGAGGGACAGAGAGGAGAGGGAGAGAGAGGAGAGGGAGAGAGGAGAGAAGGAGCTTGAGAAGGCAGATGATGGGGAGAGTGAGGAGGGTGAATGGGGGGGTGCGAGTGGAAATTGGGAAGGTGGGGATGAGGGCTGGAGGAGGCTAGGAAAGCTGTAAGATGTACCACCTGAGCTAGGCATTCTAGCACATTTGGTAAGTATGGAGGGTGTGCAGGGGTGACAGAGAAACGAGGGGCAGGTGGGTGGACGATGGTGTTTGAGATATTGAATGGTGTCTGCTTGTCCAGTCATACTCAACTCTCCGTACGTGGTTTGGTTATGATCTTCAGTGGACCAGTTTTCTCCTTCCACTATCTCTTCGAAGAGTTATTATTCGATATGAAAGTGTGTTCCCCTACTGTAGTGATGACAAATGCCTTCAGAAGGTTCAGTTCCCGCGAGACCTGTCAGCTTGGGGAAATTATTTACCGTATTACCCCGGACATACCACCCTAGGGTGCTATGATAACTACACAAAAAAAGGGGGGGGGGGGGGGGGGGGGGGGGGGGGGGGGGGGGGTGGTCTTGTCATCGGAAAAAGCTACACTGCACCCGGGTCGTTACATAATGTATATTTTTTTTAGAGCACAAAAGGTTGAGAACAAAATGTACATGTTTGACGCGGCGGTAGATTGTTGGTTGGGTGCGCAAAACCGAGGACTGGGCGATAACGTTAGTCTCGTGGGTTAGCTGCCATATTGCAAGCTCCAACAAGGCCCACAGTCAGGCCCTGATTGGAAAGAAAACACACCCCCTCGTCGCTCGACGAAGATTCATGCAGTCACAAAGGCAGAGCGCCCGCAACAGACTGTGTAGGTAGATAGCATTCTGTCTGGATGGTAGTAGGCCCCATCTGAATGAAGGAAAGACTGTGTGATGGGAGTGATATCGCTGTATAGCGTCAGACGTAGCTTGTTTGTGCTGATGTTAACATGTAGATGGTTAATCATTGGAAACCCAGTGCTATTTAGGCAAAAACTGCAATATTACCCGTACATAACACCCCCCCCCGGTGCTATATCGGATCGCCCCAAAAGGGGGTTATAGTAGAAATGAGGCCGGCTATAGCACCCCCCCCGCACAAGCCACCCGGGGGGTGCTCTATATCGGCGGGTGGTATGTCCGGGGTAATACGGTATCCAGTCATAGACACTAGCTCGATATCACGACTGGTCATCCGGCAATCACGAACGGTCACAGAATCTAGGATCCTATCACGGATGCAGGGCTGACGATATCAGGGTAATTACCCTGATTTCAGGGCGATTACAGGGTTCTGACTTGGTGGTCTATGCAAACTCAGGTTTTGTATTTTGTGAACTCTGATCCAATCAGAGAAGCTACTTAACAGACTCTGAATCCTTGTAACTAGGCTCAGAGTAGTGTACTTGCGGACTCTGTCTATGCAGGGTATGCGTTCCGTGGACCCTGAATGCGAGAGTATCTGGACGAAGTTTCCTAGAAGCTTCGTTTCGATAACCCCCTTGTGCGTAATCATTTCTTCGAGTGGCCCCATGTGAGGTACCCCCTTCACGCGCCCGTGAGTGACGTAATACCGACAAAGGAAAACACCGACGTGCTGTAAATCACAGCTGGCAACAGCGCCAACGCAGCCAAATCAATTATACGGTGCTGCCACGCGCACCGCACAGTGCACAGCATGTGTCTGCCATTGGCCAGAATGGCCTGTTGACAGCATGCGGTGGCAGCCAAGGAGTCCGTGAATGAATTCGGCCTTGAATGCAACGACGAAGTCATCGTCGAATGTTGCCATCAAGTCCGTGGAATCGCGGCGTGGTGGTTTCGTGCTCCCGCCATCTCCAACCTCCCCTTCCCTCCCCATACCAACAGCCAACGTTCCTTTGTTCACTGGTGCATTCATTGTCTCATTTTCCTCTCGTTCAGTTTAGCCACCAATGGACGCCATGCCGGCCGACGAAGCTGCTCCGGACACTGGCCCCGACGAGCCGCGTATAACAGCGAAACCAACAGCGCCGTCCCAGCCGGAGAAAGCTTCGGATGCTCCCCGCTCTGGGCTAGATTTTCTTAGACCTACGGCTGCTCCCGTCACACCTGAACCGCCTAGGTCTACCATTCACGACTCTGCCCCTGTAGTAACCCCTACTCCTACTGCTTCTCCTATTCCCGTCCCGTTCACTCTCCCCCCGGCTGCAGCAAAGATCCTCCACCGCCCTCGCCCAGTCTTACTCCAAGCACGTGAGAAAGTTTGAACGAGAATGAAATGACTAAGTGAAAGTTGGGTAAAAATACAAACCCTAGGAAAGCTGTACCCCATATGTGCTACCCCAGTATAGCCTACAAAAGCAATGTCATATAAATCTGACACACCCCCATAGGCAAAGTGGGGGAGTATAAGGGGTCACAAGACCAGTCAAGCAAGCAAAACAAAGCAAGCTCAGGATGGATCACAAAGTCACCACACAGTCCGAGCACAAGTTCAAGGCCAGAAGGCCAGTTCACATGCACCGCACATATATAAAAAGGCTAAACAAGCAAGAGCGGGAGTATAAATATGTGACAGTACAAGCAAGGTCAAGAGGTGAGCAAGTGAGGCAAGACAGGCATAAGACCAAGCTGAGTACAGAAGCGCTGATGATCACAAGGCGCAAGTGCCTTGGTGAAAACATCAGCAGTGTTGGCCTCAGAGGCCACGTACGCAAGCCGCAACTGACCACGCTGCTGTAGCTCACGAGCAAGGAAGTAGCGAAGAGCAATGTGCTTTGTTTTGTGCTCCAGTCTCTGCTCTCGCCACAAGGCCAGCATGGCCTTGTTGTCTACGTACAGCACTGGAGGAGAACGAGGTGGCTCTCCGAGGTCAGTCAGCAGGTAGGTGAGCCAGCGAAGCTCCTGTGCAGCCATGGCCCCGGCGTAGATCTCAGCCTCACAACTGGAGCCGAGAACAGAAGACGAGCGGGTAGCCCACCACGAGACAGAGCCGGAACCAAGGCTGAAGGTGTAACCCTGTGACGACCGCTGTGTAGCCTGATTGTCAGCCCAAGAAGTGTCTGCGTGCTCAGTGAGGACCACTGGACTCTGCCCTCCAAGCACTAGCCCCATGCCCGCCGTACTGCACAAGTAGCGCAACACCGTCATCGCTGCAGCCATGTGCTTTGGTCTGTGTCTCCCAGGAGCAACATAGCGTGCAAGAATGCTAAGAGGGTATGCAAGGTCAGGTCGTGTGCAGGTCATCAGGTACATGAGGCAGCCAACAAGCTCTGGGTACGGGCCACTCGACTCTACGGACTCATTCGAAGGCAGAGCTGAGAGCGAGTGGCGAGTAGGCAGAGGAGTGGCCTGAGGCGAGGAGTACGTGAAGCCGAAGCGCTGAAGGACCTGCTGCACCATGTGTGACTGAGTCCTGGTAATGGTGCGGCGTGCTCTATCCCGGGTGATCTGCAAGCCAAGGTAGCTGCGCAGTTCACCCAGGTCTGTGCACGTGTGTCTCTTCTGCAGCTCGGACTTCACGTGGGCGAGTCCAGCAGTGTCAGCGGTGGCAAAGACCGAGTCGTCGATGTACACGAGGATGTAGAACGGTGGCAGAGAGGTGTCGGTGCGCAGAAACAGCGACGGGTCAGCAGTAGAGGGAGCAAACCCAAGAGCCGCAAGTGTAGTCCTCAGTGTGTCGTGCCATTCGCGCGGTGCCCGGTGGAGACCGTAGACTGGCCGTCGGAGGCTCCACTGGGTGCCAGGAGGGAAAGTCTCAGTGAAGCCAAGTGGACGGCGCAACCAGATCTCCTCGTGCAGGCTACCCTGCAGGAAAGCAGTGCTGAAGTCAAGGGAGTGAAGCTCGTAGTCACGCTGAGCGGCTATGTGTAGCAGCACCCAAAGAGTGGTCATCTTCCGGGTGGGAGAGAAGGTCTGAAAGTAGTCAACTCCCTGCCGCTGACTGAAGCCACGAGCCACGTACCGCGCCTTGAAGACAGGCAGAGAGCCCGGCGGCGGCTTCACCCTGAAGATCCACATGCCACTGACGATGTTCGCCCCAGGAGGGGGAACCGTGTCAACGTAGGTGCCTGTGGACTTCCAGGAAGCCATCTCTGCATCCATAGCTGCCTGCCACTGAGAGGAGTAGGGACCCTCTACGGCCTCCGTGTAAGAGCGCGGAGTCGGGATGTCAAGTGCATCCGGGTCTCCCTCAGGGGTAAGCAGTACGGACACGAGATGAGGTGAAGCAGCAGCCAGGGACTGGAACTCCTCCGGCCTGTCCTCAAGGACCTCTGTGCCAAGAGCACACTCACCCCGGACGGACGGAGGACAGACAGACGCAGACTCAGCAACGAGACTAGCAGCGTAGTCTAGACGACAGCGAGCAGCAAAGTCGACGAGCTCAGCAACTAGGGCAGACGCAGTAGTGGACTCAAAGGAGGGGTCAGTGACGACAGTAGCAAGGAGACGCGTGACAGTAGGACTGGTAGCACGAAGAGAGTCCGACTCTGGGTCGGCAAGAGCAGGAAGAGAGGACGCAGGAGGAGAAGGCAAAGGGACACGCAGAGGAGCAGTGGACAGACGCTGAGACATCCGGTGCGTGCCAGGGACAGGAGGAGGACGCGGACGCGAGACGCGACCACTAGTGCGAGCAGCACGAACAGGCGACGCGGGACGAGATGCAGGCTCACGATGCTCAGCAAGACCTCCAGTAGGACCAATGTAGGGAGAAGGAGCAGGCAGTGGGGAGGTC